TAAATGAATTGAAACAACAGCATGGTGTTACAATCCAAACAAACCTAACCTATTGTTGCTGAGTCAATTCCGACTCGTAGAGACCCTGAAGGACAGGCTAGAACTTCTCTTCAGGATTTCTGAGACGAAGTTTTTACAAGAGCAAACAGCATCATCTTTCTCCCATGGAGTGGTTGGTGGGTTCGAACTGCCATTTTTCAGTGAGCAACCCAATGCTTACCCCACTGCTTTACCAGGGATCCTTGTTGTTGTTGTTAGGTGCCATTGAATTGGCTCTGACTCACAACGACCCTATGCACAACAGAATGAAACACTGCCCGATCCTGGGCCAAGCTCACTACTGTTGCTACACTTGAGTTCATCGATGCTGCCACTTGGTCAGTCCATCTCTCTGGAGGTCTTCCTCTTTTTCACTGACCCTCCACTTTACCAAGCATGATGTCTTTCTCCAGGGACTGGCCCTTCTTGATAACATGTCCAAGGTCTGAGAGACAAAGTCTTGCTTCTAAGGAACATTCTGACTCTGCTTCTTCCAACAGACTTGTTTCTTCTAGCAATCCATGGTACCTTTAATTTTCTTCTCCAACACTGTAACTCAAATGCATTGATTCTTCTCTCGTTTTCATGATTCATCCAAGGGTTCCTTGGCTCTTCAGCACATGCTTACTACTCCCTGTCTTATGATTGTTGTTGTTATGTGCAGTGAAGTCGGTTCCGACTCATAGTGACCCTGTACAGGGTTTCCGAGGCTATAAATCTTTATGGGAGCAGAAAGCCTCATCTTTCTCCTGTGAAACAGCTGGTAGTTTTGAACTGCTGACCCTGAGGCTAGCAGCCCAATTTGTAACCACTATACTACCAGAGCTCCTTGCTTTATGGTTAACCTTTGATAATCTCTTTCCTTTTCAATGATGCAGACTTGACTTTATGGTAAAGTTACTTCCCAATCCACTGGAAAGAATGGTTTTCTCAACTCCTTTCCTGTGGGTACTGAATAGAAACTAAAAATGTCATTTTGATTGTAGACAGGGGAAACCCTTGGAATGTTGTCACAAGAATCCATCATGTTAGTCACTGAGATATTATTTCACTGTAAACTCAGAGCTCCCAATCTGAGACCAGCTGGGCAATTTTAGAAAAACCCAAAGATTTGAATCTCCCTAGCACCCAGCTGGTGAGTCCCCTTGGGATCTCAGCCATGGTTCAGCCACGTGGTTGATGCTCTTAACAAGGTTAACGCTTACTAACAGGAGGCAGTGAGGGATAACATGGTCTCCATAGACTGCTTGTCTTCAAGGTACTATGTGACCAACTTCCTACATGGAAATTAGTCAAAAGAATAGAGACATTTCAGGTGTGGTGTTGCCTAAACAATTAAACCCACAGCCATCGAGTTGAGTCCAACTCTTGATGACCCGAGAGGACAGAGTAGAACTGCTCCCTGGGGTTTCTGAGTCTGTCAGTCTTTATGAGAGAAGACAGTCTCATCTTTCTCCCGTGGCAGGTTCAAACTGCTGACCTTTCAATTAGCCGTCCAATACTTAACCCTCTGGACCACCAGGGCTCCTTCAAGCTATTAACAGCACTACAAAAGACTGAGAGGAAAAGTAATCCAGATGTCACTGAGTGGACCTCAACTCACGGTGACTCCATCAGAGAAGAACAGTGACTCATAGGGTCTTCAATGGTTGATGTTTCGAAAGCTGATTATGAGACGTTTCTTCTGAACCACTGCTGGGTGGCTTTGAACCTCCAATCTTTTGTTTACCAGCCAAGGATGTTAGCCATTTGCATCACTCAGGGACTCTGAAAACTGACAGAATATTTCACTTTGGTATGCATGTTTATGAGTTGGTGGGTGTATTCATAATGTCTTTTCTACCATATTGACTAACGCTTTGAGCATGCTCCCTGGCTTCCTTTCTACGTCCTATCCTCTTTCTTTCAGGGCCTTTGGCCATTGCACACTGAGAATCATATGGTCCCTTTAGAAATGATGGTCTTTCTTTTCTTGGAGTACTGAAGTCTGTCTTCCTGAAGTCCGGAAGTCGTGTGTAACTACATTCATTCTTCTACTCCCTTGTTGTTGTTGTTGTTAAGTGCTGTTGAGTCGGTTCCGACTCATAGCGACCCTGCACAGGGTTTCCGAGGCTGTAAATCTTTACGGGAGCAGAACGCCTCATCTTTCTCCCGCGGAACCACTGGTAGTTTCGAACTGCTGACCTTGCGGTTCACAGCCCGATTCGTAACCACTACGCTACCAGAGCTCCTTAGGGCTATATAATTTGGCTTTCCCCCAATCTTTCTAACACTTCTGCCTCACCAGCCATTTCCTTCTTGTGTCCAGAAGTAGGTCAGGATTATGAAATGTCCTTATTATCTTCTTCAAACAACCAAAAAACTAAATCCACTGCCACTGAGTTGAGTCTTACTCATAATGACCCTATTAAGAGATTCTTAGACTAAATCTTTATGGGAGGAGACAGTCCCCTCTTTCTCCTGAGGATTTTAAGCTGCCAAGCTTTCTGTTAGTAGTTCAATGCCTAACCCACATGGACACCAAACAAACAAAATCAAGCAACAGCCAAACACTTAATGGCTCTGCTTTTAAATGGATGAAACTTTGGTAGTTCAGAGATATGCACTGTGAATCACTATATTGTTGTTATTGTTAATGTTAGAGACCATTGAGTTGATTTTTGACTTTTGATGCTCCCCACAGATTTTTGTAGATTTGCCCCACAGACTTTTGAGGCTGTAATCTTTTCAGAAGCATATTGCTAGAACTTCCTTCCATGGATCTGCTGTGTGGATTTGAACTGCCAACATTTGGTTTAGTAGCCGAGTACTTAACCTTTGGGCTCCATGATTTCTTCTCATCACCGTACAGAAATGCCTTCTGACAAAGGTGTTAAGGGCACAGAATACTGGTATCAGACAAACATGCATTCCAAGCTACACTGTTTGGGATCAACAGGGATTACTTCTGGGTACAATCCTGTCCCGTTATTTCTTTTTTTTTTTTACCTGGTGCCTCGAGTTCAAGCTCACCAGCTGCTCCTCAGAAACCCTCTACAGGGTCTCTAGGGGTCAGAACCGACTCGACAGCATGCAACAACAACAACAATCCCTATCTTAGATAATACTGGATCAGCACTAGATTGCTAACTGCAAGGTCAGTGGTTCAAACCCACCATCTGCTTGCTCTTCAGAAACTCTGTATAGGGTTGCTATGAGTCAGAACTGACTCAATGACACTTAACAACAACCTTTGATAACACTCTCATGTCTGTATGCTCTGAACCACCAAATCTGAACTTGTATTTTTTTTACCATGGAGCTTAGAAGGAGTGCAAACACTGAACCACCTTGCTGCTATCCAAAAGATTGGCCATTCAAACCCACTCAGAGAAAGACTCGCTGACCTGCTTCTGTTGTTAGGTGCTGTGGAGTCAGTTCCGACTCTAAGCAAACCAACCTATTTGTATGAGGTGTCCGAGGAGCATCTGGTGGGTTTGAACTTCCAACTTTGTGGTTTGAAGTCCAGTGCTGATCCTATAGCTCCATACCAGGAATCCCTAGAAAACACCAAGGTGTAGTTCTTGTCTGTCACATGGGGTCGCTATGAGTCAAAATTGATTCTACAGCACTAACCACGCCTTGGAGTCCTGGTGTGGCGCTGTGGGATAAAGCACTGAACTACAAGTTGATTTGCACTGCAAGGTCGGTGGTTCAAATTCACCAGTCCCTCCTTGGAAACCCTATCATAGGGTTGCTATGAGTTGGAACTGATTCAACAGCACTGAACAACAACTACAACAAACAATGTCTTAGTACTCATCACCCAAAACCCAAACCCAGCCTGCTGATTCTCTGTCAGTATCTCAGAGAACTGCCCCATAGGGTTCCTTAAGAAGCAGATGACTTCATCTTTCTCCTGAGGGACAGCTAGTGGGTTTGAACTGCCCACTTTCCAGTTAGCAGCCCAGTGCTTAGCCCTCAGCACCACTAGGGATCCCTATTCCAGGAGCATCAAAAAGTTGGTAGAAAAATTCCATTATCTTTGAATTCCATTCAAAATGGACGTTTTGAAACCCCCTGGTACTTATCACACTGTGTGTAACTAGCTCCACCACTCATCTGTCAACTTCTTATGGGTCTTCTTTCAGTGACCCCCGACTTTGCCATGCGTAATGTCCTTTGCCAGGAACTGCTCCATCCTGATAACATATCCAAAGCACATGAGACGAAGTCACACCATTCTTACTTCCGAGATGCACTCTGACTGCACTTCTTCCAAGACAGATTTGTTTATTCTTTTGGTAGTCCATGGTACTTTCAATATTCTTTGCTAACACCATAATTTGAAGGCATCGGTTCTTCTCTGGTCTACCTTATTCATTGCCCAGCCTTTGCATGTGTATGAGGGGATTAAAAATGCCATGGTTTGGGTTAGGTGCACCTTAGTCCTCCAAGTAACAACTTTGCTCTTTGATATTTTAAAGGAATCTTTTGCAACAGAATTTGTCTAATGCAATACATCATCTGATTTCTTCACTGCTGCCTCCATGAGTGTTGGTTATGGATCCAAGTAAAATGAAGTCTTTGATAAGCTTCACCTCCGGAGGGTCTTCCATAGTTATGGGAAGAGTCCAGAAAGTATAAGGGCATAGTTCTGGTGTCTCTGAATTTCTGGCCTCGATCAGTGCTCCTTAAACAATACCGTGCATGTGAATCACATGGAGATTCTGAATCAATAGGTTTGGGGCAGTGCCTGAAATGTACATTTCTAATAAGTTCTCAGATACTACTGATGTCTGCCCAGAGGATACCACTTTGAGTAACAATGGTTGGTCTAGAATGCAGACGCCTCCTTGTTAGTTGAACTTCAAGGAGTGGGTCAGTGTCTGAAGGACGACTCCTCCCACGCACACTTTTGTTCGTTTCAGCATCTCCTGCAAGAATTGGGCTAAGTCTCTCTTTAATTCTTTTTCAAACAGCATATCTAAGTTTTGCAACCACAGACACCAGCCAGGAGAATATATATTCCATGCTGAAAATGATGATGCTGAGTTCACAAAAACATTTACGTTGCATATAAAAAGTAAGTAAAACCATCAGAAATGTTCATTTCTATTTTGTAACTCCCTCTGGGACAGTTTCCAAGGAGCCTTGGCTGCTGAGCTTGAACCGCTGCCAAACTGGTTTGCGGTCCAGCGCATTAGCCCACAGCACCACACCAGGACTCCATATATGTACATATATAGGAACACAGTGGCTCCATATGGAAAGCACTGGACTGTGAACAAGGTCAGTGGTCCTAGCCCATTAGCTGCTCTGCGGGAGAAAGTTGAGGCTATTTCTACGAAGATTTGTTGTTGTTAAGTGCCTTCGAGTCGGTTCCGACCCATAGCGACCCTGTACAGGGTTTCCAAGGCTGTAAATCTTTACGGGAGCAGAAAGCCTCATCTTTCTCCTGCGGAGTGGCTGGTAGTTTCGAACTGCTGACCTTGTGGTTCACAGCCCAATTCGTAACCGCTACGCTACCAGAGCTCCTTTAAAGCCTTGAAAATCCTATATAGGTTCGTTATGAGTTGGAACCAACTTCATGCATATATATATATAGTCCTGGTGTGGTGCTGTGGGTTAATGTGCCAGATTACAAAGCCATTTAAACTGCACGGTCTGAGGTTCAAGCTCACCAAAAGCTCCTCAGAAACCCTATACAGGGTCACTATGGGTTGGAACCAACTTGACGGCACTTAACAACAACATATATATATATAATTTTTTCATACAGTCCAATAACTCAGAGACTCCAAGAAATCCAAAGTAGGCATCTTATCCATTAAAGAGTAAATCGTAGCCGAATCAAGAGTGCATTTTATGGCTCATTGTTCAATCTTTTGTTATACTGACAGGACCTTCTACTTTTGCTGTGTACTTTTTGGTGTTTTGTTGATCCTTTTCTCATGGGACCAGCCGTGTCCACATGTTAACCCAGTACAGGAAGGGGACCCCCAACCCTGCCCACCCCAAATGTCTGTCGAAGTAAACATTGACCACGTCCACGCTTTCCACAGGCTCCATCCAAGTGGCACTGATGATGTTCATGTTTGCAATTATTTCCACTGTTCATTTCCATGTGTCTCCACCACCTTTAATGGAAGCTCAGTGCCCCCAAGCCTAAGAGTTCCCTTTCCCCTTCCCTCCATCTCTAATAATCACTAGGAAGACTTTGTTTCCTGTATTTGGTTATTCTAGATGCAGGTAGTCCCCAATCGATGATGGGGTTCTGTTCCTACCACTCTGTTGTAAGTCAAATCTCTCTCTCTCTTTTTTCTAAAGTTTTCATTATCATTGCCTTGTTTTCTCCCTTATCTTTATAAATCTGATCTTTATTTGTCTTTGGGAATTGAAAATATTCCATATAAATTTACAGATGCCATCAGTCAATTCTGTGCCACCAACTTGTATATGGTCCATGTCACTAATGAAAAGACATTTTTTAAAAGAATGGTTCCAAGTGTGAGTCACATAACTTGGTTATATCCAAGGTTGAGGAATGCCTCATATGATGGGATCCTACGGTATTTTTCCTTTTGTGTCTTACTTCTTGTGTTTAGTATCACGTTTCAAGGTTCATCTGTGTTGTGGCATGTATCAGAACTTCATTTGTCTTTGTTTCTCTTACATGACCTTATTTCATGTTCTTCTCTGCAGGGAAACCTCAAGTGCTGGCTGAGACATCAGCGAGCCAGGCCTCTTGTTCCTCCGATGGGTACCCACCGCCATCTTGGACCTGGAAGAAGTGCTCAGAAGAGTCTTCCAAGTAATAGGAACATTGGCTTCTGTTGTGACGGAAGGATGTGAAACCCACTCTCTGTGCCGTACAGACCCTTTCATGAGTGCAGTTTAAGAAGAAATGATGAATTCTTAAAAATGCTTCCTTTTGGAAGCAGTCATCATTTCAACGGTCATAGGTTGATTCTGATAACCCAACATCTGCTTTGTGGGAGAATGATGAGGCTGTCTGCTTCCTTAAAGACTGACAGTCTCAGAAAGCCTATGAAACAGTTCCACCCTGTCCTCTAGAGGTGTTATGAGTCAGAATCAATTTGAGTGCAGTGAGTTTGCTTTAGTTATAGATAGCCTACGTTAAGATTAAAAAGAAAAACAAAATGTCTGTGGATGGGCAGAGATCTGGTGAGGCGCTGTAGATGAGCACTGGACTGCTAATCACAAGGTCAGCAGTTCAAACCCACCGGCCACTCTCAGAAACCTTATACAGGGTTGCTATGAGTCGGAACTGACTCTATGGCACTTAACAACAGCAACGATGGACAAGGTATAAATGTAACCAGGAGGAGTGAGAGTAAAGCCATCCCATAGGGTAGCTAGAAGTTGGAACTAACTCAGTGGTACTGGGTTTGGTATAATCGATTAATCTGTGACTAAAGCTCACTTACTGAAACCCTAGCTTCCACCCTGATGCCAGCCCAACCAGCCAACTTCTCCATCTGCTACTCCTTTTCAGCTGCACAGAAGAAATCACAGAAGGGGTCTGGAATAAGAAGACTCACAGAAAAGTGTTTGGACAATGGATATCCAGTAGCACCCTCAACATCAGCAAGGCCGTGATGGGTTTCCCGGTCACGTGCTGTGCATACAATTCCATGGGTTCTTCTTGTGAAACAATCCTATTAAAGTCATCAGGTATGCCAGAACCATTCCTGTTGGACTCGGACACTGGCAGGAATCCCCCACTGACAAGTTAGTCCCTGCTGCCATCTCTCTTTGGGGGAATTTCCCAAGAGAATGGAGTAGATTCAGTGTGTGAGTCAAACAAGAATCCCCCTGTCATTATGCTGTTTTGTAGCTCAGTGTGAAGCCCCTCTTACTTAGGATAGCATGATCATGAGTTGTAGTCATCTAGGAAGAACCATGAATGCATCATGGACAGCAACTGAAAGGTTAAATCCTACAGAAAATGAGCACGTGGTTAGCATCTCCCTCATCTTCCTTATTTCCCTTGAGCCTATTGTCCTGTGGAGTCCTGGCCTGGCACTGCATGATAAAGCACTGGGCTGCAAGGTGGCTTTGAATCTCAAGGTTGGCAATTCAGACTCAACAGCCACTCCTCTGAAACCCTATACGGGGTTTTTTTGAGTCGGAACCGACTTGTCAACACTTAACAATCACAATAACATTGTCCTGTAATTTTTCATTTTTTAGAGCTCCTGAAGCTCAACTGTTCAGAAACTTAGGCGCCTACAGTTTGTTGTTGTTGTTAGGTGCCATTGAGTCGGTATGACTCATAACGACCCTATGCACAATAGAATGAAACACTGTGGTCCTGGGGCAACTTCACAATCATTGCTACATTTGAGCCCATCGCTGCTGCCACTGTGCCGGCCCATCTTGCTAGGGGTCTTCCTTTTTTTCTCCGCCCCTCCACTTTACCAAACATGATGTCCTTCTCCAGTGACTCATCCCTCCTGATAATATGTCTGAAGTATGACAGATGAAGTTTGGCCATCCTGGCTTCCAAGGAGCGCTCTGGCTGCACTTCTTCTAACACAGATCTGTTGGTTCTTCTGGCAGTCCATGGCACTTTCAATATTCTCCTCCAACACCATAACTCAAATGTATCAAATGCCTACAATAATAGTGTAGAATCACCAGCCTCCTAAACTAACTTCACATTCACATATCTTCATAGAGGAAACACAAACCTCTCTTATCTAATATTTAGAAGGGGGGCAGGGGGCTTCAAAAAGTTCATGAAAAAGTCCATGATTTTCCATTTCTTTTATTTTTACCAACAGTTTGAAACCCCCTCATACATACTGTGATTTTTAATAGATGTAACTCTTAGAACACTAATGAATAACTTTTTAAAATTAAAATAAAATTTTAATAGATGTTTAGTGCAGTGTTGTTGTGGTTAAGTGCTGTCGAGTCTGTTCTGACTCAGCAGCCCTGTATAGGGTTTCCGAGGCTATAAATCTGTACAGGAGCAGAAAGTCTCATCTTTTTCCTGTGGAGCCACTGGTGGGCTTGAACCATGGACCTTGTGACTCACAGTCCAGTGCTTGTCCTACAGAACCACCATGCTCCCCATTGCAGTGTTAGGTTTATAGAAATACTGTGCAGAAATCTCTGTAGAGTTCCCATGTATCTTCTCTCCCCATATTGTTTCTGCTGTTATTAAATATCTTGCATTCTTGTGATCCATTTGTTACAGCTGATGGATCATTATTGATATCTGATTATTAATTAATGTCCACAGCTTTCATTGGGGGTCACTCTCTTTGTGTTGTATATTCCCATGGGTTTTGACAAATGCGTAATGTTGTGTAACCACCATTACAATATCATATAGAATAACTTCACTGCCCTCCAAATGCATCTCTCTTCCCCAGCCCCTGGCAACTGCTAATCTTTTTATTTTCATTTATGGTCTTTTTCTGAATGCCATATAGTTGGAATCACAAACTATTTTGCTTTGATCAGATTGGCTTTGTTCACTTAGCAGTATGCATTTAAGCTTCCTAAATGATTTCTACTTTTTAATGTGTTCAGAAACATTGAACACTTCTTAGAGAGGAAACAACTTTTCAGTTGGTCCTCATGTGAACATGACCTGATTTTCTGTGGGGAGTAATGTTGATGTGGAGTATGAGTAAGAACTGAAAATAATGGTTACTAAAAAGGATGAGGGAGATCATATTGAGCCAGTCCTGGTGTGGTGCTCTAGGTTAATGCGCTGGACTACAAGGTCAGTTTGGACCATAAGGTCAGTGGTTCAAGCTTGCCAGCCACTCCTCGGAAACCCTATACAGGGTTGCTATGAGTCGGAACCGACTCGATGGCACTTCACAACAACAAAACTCCACAACTTGTGATACAATCAGGAATTGTCACTCAGTGCTCCGTGGTGTTCTTGTTTTTAGGTCTTTTCACTTTCATCCAAGACAACATCTCTTTCTACGCAACAATTGGACTCTGTCTTCCCTTTATTGTGGTTTTAACTCTGCTACTTTATCACAAGTACAAAAAGGTAAAAGCAAAGGTCAGAATTCATCCTTGATTCCTATTTCTGCAGAATTGCCCTGTTCTTAATGATTTCATTCTCTCATCATTATAGCAATTCAGGTATGAAAGCCAGCTGCAGATGGTACAGGTAACTGGCTCGTTGGATAACGAGTACTTCTACATTGACTTCAGAGATTTTGAGTATGATCTCAAATGGGAGTTTCCAAGAGAAAATTTAGAATTTGGTAAGCACAAACTGTGGCCAATACTTCTGTAGCAGTTCCCTCCTGTTGGGAGAGCGTTCAAATGCACTCTCGATGTTTCTCTCCTAGGCAAGGTGCTGGGATCCGGTGCTTTTGGAAAAGTGATGAATGCAACAGCCTATGGGATTTGTAAAACTGGCGTCTCAATTCAGGTTGCAGTTAAAATGCTGAAAGGTACGGTCAAGTCGGACAGTACCTACACTGGTGCGCAAAGACAGGAGGCAGAATCTCCTAACTTCCCTTTTTCCACGGTTCTTTTCATAAAAGCTTTTATTGTAAACTGAGTAATAGTTTACATGGGATAAAATTGGTTTTGCACTCAACCTATCCTATTTTGTTTCATTGCAATGATTACAATCCCCTCCATATATCATCGGTTAACAGTATTTGCTTCTATTCCCTCTTTTTTTTTTTGATGTGCACAAAAACATGCAAGAATATATAATTGTTTTAACAACCAAAGGACACATTCTGCAAGCCTGCCTCCTGCCTGCCAGCACCCACTCTTTCTTTCCATGAGTCTAGAGTCCTCAGCTGCTCCCTCTATCCATGTCCCCATCTCTGCCTCCATCTCTGGTGTCGCTGCTTCTCTGGATAGGGTCCCACATTCTGCTTGTGCTCTTCTCCCTGGATGGTCCTAGGTTCCTAGAATGTAAGATTAACTACTCCCTCCTTTTTGTTACAAAAGTTATACCTTTATAGGTTGTGTAAAGGTTGTGACAGTCACAGTTAGTCATGATAACAGTTATTCACTATTGAATCATAAGAATCTTATCCCCATATCCTTTCATCAGACCTATCTAGACAAGATGAAAACTATTCAGTTGGGACTCTACCTTCTCCCGCACACTCTGAAACTAAACTCCCTCTTGAAAACTTGTAAGCCAGCCACTGTATGCCTTTATAGCCCTCCCATTTTAGGTAGCCAATATCTAAGTTGCCCATCCCTATAAACCCTGTGTACAGAGGGGATATGGTTAATCCTTGATGTGAAGACTCCTTCCCCCTCAATTGGTATTTTGAGCTACTACCTCCATTAGTGTAGGTCAAAGTCATCAAATTGTAGCAATTTATACTTATTTCCTTTATCAAATGTCTTTATTGGCCTAAATTTGAATTATTTGAGTTCTGATCATCAAGCCATAGAAGCTAGTTCAAATGAGTACTATCTGCAAGTTTGGGTGTTCTTATGCATCTCCCCTCACTTAATATCAGCTGGATGCTTCACTCTCAGCTCTAGCCCTCCATGGCTACGTCCTTGTCCATGGGTTCAGGAGTCCCCAGGTCTCAACACACTTCAGACCAGCCAGCACTTCCTCTTCTCTCTCTCATCTCCCGGTTGACAGGAATCTAATGGAATGTGGTCAAACTCAACCCATGTCTTCATTGCTACCTCCCCCCCTCTTCCACTCACCAGTAGACCAATGTGTTTCCTTTGAGTTTCAGTCTTGGACGGGGGTTTGTCCTGAAGGGACTTGATTACTTGCCTTGATGGCTGCCCGGTGAACAACTTGCTTGTTCTTATAGTAGCCAATCAAATTGTCGTTTTTGTTTTTGATTTTTTTCCTACTGCTGTTTCTTTCTGGAAGTGTCTTCTGTCACTCTAGCTGTTCCAGGTTGGTCTGCTTGTCCTTTCTAGTGGAAATTTCCTACCTCAGAAGGTTCTGGATGGGGCTCAGGATTCCACCTAAGGGCCTATCCACTACAAAGGCTCCACAAGAGGCCTATTTCACTGGGTAAATTCTAAATATTCCTTTTAGATATTCCAATCAGTTATAAGTTGAAGACGGACTTACAAGCTTTCTGTAATTATGTTTCCTAACATTCTCTTTATTGAATTTCTCTTTGTTATTGGAGATATGAAGTCCTGGTGTGGCACTATAAGATCAGCACTGAACTGTTAGCCTCAAGGTTGCCGGTTCAATCCTACCAGCCATGCCTCAGAAACCCTATGCAGGGTCGCTATGAGTCGGAACCAACTCGACAGCACTTAACAGTAACATGGGAGATGTCGTTGTTGTAGGGAGATGTTGTTTCTTACGTTACTAACATAGACTCTAGGTGGTGGTGGTGGTGGTGCACTCTCTAGTCCATTCAGTGACAGAGAAGAACTGTCCATGGTGCTTCCTAAACTGTCATAGGTGGTGGTGGTGGTGGTGCACTCTCTAGTCCATTAATGTGACAGAGAAGAACTGTCCATGGTGCTTCCTAAACTGTCATCTTTGTGGGAGAAGATCACCAGGGCTTTTCTCCAGTGGAGCGACTGGTGGGTTCAAACCGCTGACCTTTTAATTGGTTATTTAATGCTTAACACACAGCACACCAAGACTTCTAGACTTGGGGTAAAAACACTAGTAGAAGCTCTGGGTATCCTGTCTTCCCCTTCACTGCTCCATCCGGCCCCTTCGCTCTACCTACGGCCTCTTGCTAAGGTCTTCAGCGATCACAGTGGTCACCAGGTGGATGAACTCATCCCAGGGCTGTTTCCAGACCTCATGCTGATTATTGTTCAGCACAAATCAAGACCGATGACTGTGGATTCCATCCAAAACGTTTTCTTCTTTTGATTTCCATGTTGCTAAAGTTTTCTAGCCTGCATAGGGTTTCTTCCTGCCTTCCCGATGGCTTCTCCCAGCTCTCTGCTGGCTCATCGTGGTCTAGCCAGCTTTCTGCATGGAGTGCCCCAGTCCTCCTCCTGTGTCTTCTTCCTTTTCCACCCTGTTTGCTCACAGAGGCCAAGCTGACCTACCCATCCACATTTCACCTGGTGGACCAGTGGTTCTCAGGAGGATTTCTCCTTTGAGAGCTTCACATACATCTGCCCAAACGCTTGAATATCTCCCCCAAATCCCTTGAATTCAGATTATTAAAGCTCCCCAAGCTGACCCTCCATAGTGCTGTATTTCTCAGTCAATGGTAACAAACCAAAAACCCAAACCCACTTTAGTCAATTCTGCCTCATAGCAACCTTATGGAATAGAGAAGAGCTGCCCCTTAGGGTGTCCAAGGCTGTAATATGATAAGCACTGAATTACGAACCACAAGGTTGGCAGTTCAAGCCCACCAGCCACTCCGTTTGAGAAAAATGCAGCTTTCTGCTCCTGCAAAAGATTTACAGTCTCAGAAACCCTATGCAGGGTTGCTGTGAGTCAGAACTGACCCAAGGCACTTAACAACAAAACAATCTTTATGGAAGCAGATTGCCACATCTTACTCCCAAGGAGGGGCTGGTGGGTTCCCATTGCTGGTCTTTTGGTTTGCAGCCAGGTGCCTTAACCACTGTGCCACCAGGGCTCTGATTGGTAACTGGCACCACTGAATAGCCACACTCCATACATTTAGGCAAACCAGAAACTTAATAAACTGTCCTCTTTCTAATATCACTGTGTGGCATTGTAGGATAAGCACTGGGCCACAGGTCAGTTTGAACCACAAGGTTGGTGGTTTGAAGTCACCAGCTTCTCCTTGGAAACCCTACACAGAATCACTATGAGTTAGATTTGACTCAACAGCACTTAACAACAACAATAAGTTATTCCTATCTGTCTTTCTCCTTGATATCTCTTTTATCTCCATTACCTATTAGACGAGGAGTCTTGGTGTGACACTGTAGGATAAGCACTGGACTGCAAGTTCGGTTTGAATCACAAGGTCAGTGGTTCAAACTCACAAGCTGCTCCTTGGAAACTCCATACAGCGTCACTGTGGGTCAGGACAGACTTGCGGCACTTAACAACAACAACAACAATAGGCATAAATAATATGGATCTGCTCTGAATGAAGGAATGACTTCATTCTTTACGGGCATGTCATGTGTTATGTGTCCTTGGATTCACAGACAAGGCAGACAGCTCTGAAAAGGAGGCTCTCATGTCGGAGCTGAAAATGATGACTTACCTGGGAAGCCATGAGAATATTGTGAATCTGCTGGGAGCATGCACCTTGTCAGGTAAAACCCACTTCCACCTGCAACAGTTGCTCAGAGGTGTTATAGTGCAGAGAGGATATTTGTTCTTTTCTTCTCAACCACAGTGGGCCCTCAAACCCAAGCAGAATTAGATGTGAATGTGGTCTCTGTCTCTCGCTATCTATATATACAAGAGGGCTTCAGAAAGCAGTGGAACAAATTCCATTCTCTTTGAATTTCATTTGTCCACCACATTTTGAAGCCCCCTGTATATACGTAAGTCTCCTGGTGTGGCGTTGTGGGTTAATACGCTGGACTGCAAAGTTGGTTTGAACCACGCACGGAGGTTCAAGCTCACCATTCACTCCTATGAAACCCTATACAGGGTCACTATGGGTTGGAACTGACTCGACGGCACTGAACAACAATAACAAATCCTATGCAGGGTCGCTATGAGTCAGGAACGACTCGACGGCACAGGACAACAAACAACACATGTATATGGAGTCCTAGTGTGATGCAAGGTCGTTTGACCTGCAAGGTCAGTGGTTCAAGCTCACCAGTTACTCCTCAGAAGCCATATACAGGGTGGCTGTGAGTCAGAACCAACTCGACAACACTTAACAACAGCAATATACATGTATATGTGGAGTCCTGGTGTGGTTCTATAGGGTAAGCACTAGACCGCAAGGTCAGTTTGAACCACAGAGTTGGTGGTTCAAACCACCAGCTGCTCCTCGGAAACCCTACACAAGGTTGCTATGAATCAGAACTGACTTAATGGCAGTAAACAACAATACACGTGTGTGTGTGTGTGTATCTCACACATACAAACACATGTAAGGGTCGGTTGAAAAGCATTGCTGCAAAATCATAGACACCTTTATTGAACAAAAGTATCCAATGTGAAGCTACTGTTTCTCAACATCCCCTCCATCTAGTTTAGGCACGTCTGAAGGTGGTGTTTCCATCTCTCTGACCCTTCCTTGAAGAATTCTGCGTGATTCATTTTATATCACATCAAAATGGCAGTTTTGACATCCTTGAGGAACTCAAATCATGTTTCTTCTCAATGTTCTTTGAGTTTGGACAACAAAAAGAGATCTGAGGGGGCAAATTCAGGGTTGGAGAGTAGACAGGCTAAGGTTTTCCAATGAAATTTTCATAAGGCAGCCCTGGCTAACTTCAAAGAATGAGCAGGTGCATTGTCGTGATGGAAAAAAAAATGCCTCAGTGTAACTTTCCTGAACTTTTTCTTACCAATGCAGCTGTCAATTTTCTTCTGACTGCTCCCTAATAAGTTCCCATGATCATCTGTGTCCACTGAGAAAATATATCAAGAATATCATTGTTGTTAAGTACCATGGAGTCAGTTCCAACTCATAGTGACCCTGTACAGGGTTTCCGAGGCTGTAAATCTTTACGGAAGCAGAAAACCTCATCTTTCTCCCATGGAACTGCTGGTAGTTTCGAACTGCCAACCTTGAGGTTAGCAGCCCGATTCGTAACCACTGCGTTACCAGAGCTCCATATATCAATAATGCCTCTTTGAAATCCCAGAAACTAGTCCCCATAACCTTCTGAGCTGATCGCTCTACTCTGAACTGAACTGACTCAGCAGATCCACTCAGAAGTCATTATTTTGGTTGGACCTTTTTTTGAAGTCACCCCAATGAGATTAAGCGTCCTGGTGTGGTGCTGTAGAATAAGCACTGGACTTCTAATGCTAATATTGGTAGTTCAAGCCCACCAGCTGCATCTTGGAAAACCCTACACAGGGTCACTATGAGTAGGAAGTGATGGACAGCACTTAACAACAACAGGGAGACTAAGACAAGCCATCTACTGATTGCAGAGACGTGTTTAAACATGTTTTGTTTGTTGTAACAACAAACTGGTCAATATTGTATGACCTGGAATCCCAGCAGCAGTACTTTGTGACGTAAGACCCTTGTCTATGACGTATTTAAGTCAAGTGGTTCATTATGAAGAGTACCACTTTCTCTTACCCACTGTAGTGAGATGCTTCACAAAATTCTCAAAACTTCCACTTAACAAATAACACTGCAAATACATCATGGGGTGTCTAGTTCTGCCTACTCAGCTGAAGGCTGCCATAAATGCAGGGGAGTTGGGTGGTGCCTCAGGTGGGCTGTCTTCAAGCAAGGCACAGTCCAGACGGGATTTCCAAGTTCATTTCCCCATCTCTCAGGCAGCGGTGAATTACCCCATAAGCAAGGTAAGCACGGGCTTACTGGTGCTTGCTTACTCACATGGTTTTAACCACACTAAGTACTCCCCTCTCTGTTAGGAATTGCAATTCTGAAAGAAGCTTTGAAGCTGTGGGAAGGTGTTAGGGGGTCGGGAGGGAGACAGAGGCCAAGCCATACCTAGAAGTGGAATCTTTGATGTGGTTTTTTTAAAAAAAGTGAAAGTATGTACTACAGATTAGTAAATTAGCACAAGTAAACCTAAGCTTACCCTGCACTGCCCTGGGACTTGCTTTCTGATTAACTTCTGCCTTGTTGTTGTTGTTATTGTTGTTAAGTGCCATCGAGTCGGTTCTGACTCATAGCCACCATGCGTAGGGTTTCCCAGGAGCAGCTGATGAGCTTGAACCTCTGACCTTGCAGTTCACATGGCTTTGCAGTCTGCCGCACTAACCCACAGCGCCACACCAGGAAAACCTCAAATGTGCTCAGAAGCATACTGTCCCTTGGGCACCATGCACAAATGATAATAAAAGAAGAGAAAAAAGAAAATGAACCTAAGTGGGGGGTTGTTATATGGTTTTCCCTTCTTAGGCAAGCAGTGAAGCCTCCAAGATGGGCCATTGTTGACAATCAGCTAGCATCTTTGCCCCAGTTGCACACTGGGGAATCCAGGTAGTCCGGGGCTATTGGTGAGGCTGCTTGTATCACGAGAGCTAAAGTGAAAGGCAGAATGTTGAGCAAAAAGCTGAGGTGGACCTGAAAGTCTAAGAAGGGATTTGTTGTTGTTGTTAAGTGCCGTCGAGTCGATTCTGACTCATAGCGACCCTGTGTAGGGTTAGCACTAGAAGCTTAAAAATGTTGATGGAGACCTTCCATTACCTTTTCATTCCATTTGTCCACATGCTTTTTGAAGCCCCCTGGGAACTCCCTTGGCATCGGAGGAGCACTGAGCCCTCCCAGGTTCTGCTGGAAGTAACTTGGGGACTCCAACCCCCCTAGTGAACCTGTACCTGTTTTAGGACCCGTCTACCTGATTTTTGAATATTGTTGGTACGGCGATCTTCTCACCTATCTCAGAAGTAAAAGAGAAAAATTCCACCGGACATGGACGGAGATTTTTAAGGAACACAATTTCAGTTTTTATCCCACTTTCCAATCACATCCAAATCCCAGGTAAGAGATGGGGGCCAAGGTTTCTTAATTATGCATCACAGAACACCAGACTATGCTGGTTAGACCACCCAACCGGCCAGTTTCGAAAGGCCAGCACTGGGGGTCTGTGTGTTGGAAGACATAACACCGTTTTAGGCGTAGCTTTCCTATTATTCTCGAGTCACGGGACTTCCTTTTCCCTATGGAACAGCTTCTGCCGTGACTGTTGTTAGCTGCTAGTGGCTCAGTTCCGACTTATGTTATGACCTGTAACATAATAAATCGTTACCATCCTGTGCCAGTTTCATAAGCATCGGTGCACCCCAGTTCATTCTGTAGCCACTGTGCCTCTTGAGCATCTTCCAACCAAGAGGATACATCTCCTAGTAGTGTATTGGACACTAGTCTGCTAATTTTTATTGGCTAATTTTCAGAAACAGATTGCCAGGACTTTCTTCCTACTCTGCCTTAGGTGGGAGCTCCACTGAAACATGTCCATCATGTCTGACTCTTCTAGCATTTGGGAAAACAGTAGCATGTCTTCCAGCATCATAGCAACATGTAAGCCACCGCAGCAGGATGAACTGACAGACAGGTGGTGCTTTCTATGATTTCATTGTTGTTGAGTGCCATTGAGTTGGTTCCAACTCTTAGTGATCCTGTATAGGGTTTCCAAGGAACAGCTGGTAGATTTGAACTGCCGACTTTGTAGTCAGCAGTCCAGTGCTGATCCTAAAGTGCCACACCAGGATGACTATTATTAATTAATTTCACAATCAAGGAAAATGTTACTGAAGAAATGGCTGCATCAGTACCTAGAGAACTGCCAGAAATTCAAACCAGATTCTCAAGAGGATGTGGAATGAGAGGTATCATTGCTGATGTCAGATGGATCTTGGCAGAAAGTGGGGAATACCAGAAAGATGTTTACCTGTGTTTCATTGACTACACAAAGACCTGTGGACTGTATGGATCATAGCAACTATGGATAATGTTCCGAAGAATGGGAATATTCCAGAACGATGAGGAACCTGTACATAGACCTCAAGGCAATCATTCAAATAGAACAAGGGGATTGTTGTTGCTTGGTGTCATCGAGTCCCGAACCATAGTGACCCTGCGCACAACAAAATGAAACACCGCCCAGTCCTGTGCCATCCTCACAATCGCTGCTATGCTTGAGCCCATTGCTGCTGCCACTGTCAATTCATCTTGTTGGGGGAGTGGTCTTCCTCTTCTTTGCTGACCCTCCCCTTTACCAAGCATAAGGAACCAGTTGTTCCTGATAACATGTCCGAAGTATGAGAGATGAGCTCTCACCATCCTGGCTTCTAAGGAACACTCTGGGAGTTCTTCCAACACAGATCTGTTTGTTCTTCTGGCAGTCCATGGTACCTTAAATATTCTTCTCCAACACCATAACTCAAGTGCATCAGTTCTTCAATGGTCTTCCTTATTCACTGTCTAACTTTCACATGCATCTGAACAAGAGGATGCTACATAAAATCAGGAAAGGTGTGTGTCAGAGTTGTATCTTTCACCGTACTTATTCAGTCTGTGTGCTGAGAAAATCATCTGCAAAGCTGGACTACGTGAGGAGGAGCAAGGCATCAGGGCTGGAGGAAGAGTTATTAACAACCTGTGATATACAGATGACACAACCTTGCTTGCTGAAAGTGAAGAGAACTTGAAGTGTTTACTGATGAAGATCAAAGACTGCAGCCTTCAGTATGGCTTGCATCTCACTATAAAGAAAATAAAAGTCCTCACAACTGGACAAATAAGTACCATCAGTATAAGCAAAGAAAATATTAAGGTTTCAGAATTTCATTTTATTTAGAAGTACAATCAACGACCCTGGAAGCAGCAGTCAAGACATCAAATAATGATTGCACTGGGCAGATCTGCTGCAAAAAGACCTCTTGACAAGTTGTAAAAAAATAAAGATGTTACTTTGAGGACTCTAGTGTGCCTGAAATGAGCTATGGTGTTTTCAGTCACCTCATATGGATGCGAAAGCTGAGAAATGAATAATAAAGACTGCAGAAGAACTGATGCTTTTGACTTATGGCGTTGTCAAAGAATACTGGATACATCAAGATGGACAAATGTGCATTGAAAGAGGTACAGACAGAATGCTCCTTAGAAGTGAGGTATCACTTTGGACATGTTCTCAGGAGGAGTCCCTGGAGATGACCATCATGCTTGGCAAAGTAGAGGGTCAGCAAAAATGAGGAAGACCCTCGATGATGTGTATAGACACAGTGGCTACAAGAATGCGCTCAAATAATGATTGTGAGGCTGGTGCCGCACCGGGCAGTGTTCCCTTCTGTTGTGCATGGGGTCATGAAGAGTCGGAACTGACTCGATGGTACCTAACAGCAACAAGTTTTATTAATTTCAGAGGGAATGGAAGTGAGCTTTACAAAGGCAAACTTGATAGAAGGATAATGAAACTCTCGTAGGTTTTTGTGGAAGATCTGCGTTACCTGAGCTTTTATGGTGACTGTGTGGTGAGCATGAAATCAGAAGTAGATGTCTGAGATCTAATTCCATGATTTACTAGCCTTGTGATATCAGCCAGTTCTATTTTGCTCACCACGTCTAATTTCTCTTTTATAAAGTGTGATCTTAACACCCAAATCACAAGCTTATGGTAAGGATTAAGTCAGGTTATTTTTGCACTTCAAGACGCTATACAAGGAGTCCTGGTGTGGTTCTATAAGATAAGAATTGGACTGCCAACTGTAAGGTTGGCAATTCCAATCCACCAGCCGTTCCATGGGAGGAAAATAAGGCTGTTGTCTCCAGAAAATATTTACAGCCTCAGAAACCATATACTGGTTTGCTATGAGTCAGCATTGACTCATAGCTATGGGTTTGGGGTTTTGGAAGATTCTATTCAATGGCGCTTAACAACAACATGCAGATAACAGAACTTGCGCTTATCCTAGTTCAAACACTCAAATGTTTTTAATGCTTTAAAACTGGACAAGTGGATGGTGTGTTCTTCATTTAAAAACCTATTTGTAATTTGAATTCTATGATGAGTTGCAGTGAAATTTGTAAGAGCCGGATTGTCTTTTCTTGATCGGGTCTTACAAGTTTTCTGCCTTTGACAGTGACCTGTCTCCCCAGTCTTACACCTGTTTCAGTGGAAATTATTCTAGTGTTCCTTCTCTGGCAGGTTTCTGCCTTACACAGGTTCTGACTTCCTCAGGATTTGCTATGTCATTTTAAATGAAAGTTCAGAAGGAGAATAGAAGTAATGACAAATACGGTTTTTTCACAGTATGCCTGGGTCAAGAGAAGTGCAAATACAACAGGATTTGGACCAGATGTCAGGGCTCAATGGGAATTCGTTTCATTCGGAAGGTAATATTTCATTCTAATTAGTAGCACTTTAAAACAGATGTGGATACTGTCATTGCATACTAGCAATTTCTGAGAAAATTTAGTGCAGAAACACGACCCTGGTGGGTGGCATCATGGGTTAAACACCAAACCGCTAACAACAAGGTGGGCAGTTCAAACCCACTAGCCACCTCTGAGGAGAAAGAGAAAGCAGTCTGTTCCCAGAAAGATTTACAGTCTCGGACACCCCATAGGCCAGTTCAGCTCTGTCTGATAGGGTCCCTGTGAGTGGGCACCGACTGGATGGCAGGAGCTTGGAATGCCACTTACAGGCTTTGTTGGAACTAAGTTGCTTTAAAACTCTCTAGATAGTCTTATGTTGGGGTCCCGCTAATAAACACCAAGACCTGTTTTACTTGGGCAGGTGAGAGCTGTGTTATTACTTGACATGTAGTTAATTCTGGAGTCAGGTAGATGCGTTGGCTTCTGACACCATCACGTTCTGGCTGTGTGCCTCTGGACAAGTTACTGCACCCTTGGCCTTAATGTCCTGATTTGTAAAATGGGCCCAATACCACCTTCCTCAGAGAGCTATCAAGTCGATTCCTGCTCTTAACCACCCTATAGGACACAGTAGACCTGTCCCAATGTGTTTCCAAGGCTGTAATCGTTACGGAAGCATACGGCCTCATCGTTCTCTTGTGGAGTGGCTGTGGGGTTTGAACCACTGACCTTCCGGCTGGCAGCCAGTGCTTTACCATTGTACCACAAAAGCTCTGTTAGTGCACAACCCAGTTCATAAAATGTGGCCAATGCTCGATCAAAGTTAGTTACTAAATTGAAAAAAATTAAACATGAAGAAAATCAACTAAAATTTCTAACTAATTTGGAGACTACTTATTACCAAAGCAGCTAGGAAATTTATTCTCTCTAACTGTGTAGTGGTAACGAGTTGGGCTGTTAACCTCAAGGTCAGCAGTTCGAAACTACCATCCGTTCCTTGTGAGAAAGATGCAGCTTTCTGCTCCTGCAAAGATTTACGGCCTCGGAAACCCTGTACAGGGTCGCTATGAGTTGGGACCAACTCCACAGCATATAACCAACCAACCAGTCCAAGAGAAGCTTTCCATCAGCCTGCATGGGGTACACACCTTTTAATAAAAGTAGGTTGGTGGAGTCCTGCCAGAGAACACTGGAGAACTCCTATGTTGTATCTGCTCACCCAACTGTAGCTTTAATGACCTCAAATATAACTGCAGAAGGAGCCTGGTGGTACAGTACGGTCTGCCCTGGGCTGCTAACCAAAAGGTCAGTGGTTCAAGCCCACTAGCTGCTCTTCAGGAGAAAGATATATAGATGAGAGCCTTAGAAATCCTGTGGAGTTGTTCTGCTCTCTCTTCTGTTGGTGTCATTGTGTGTGTTGAGTTGGTTCCGATGCATGGCGACCCTGTCTAGGATTTCCAAGGCTATAAATCTTTACGAGAGCAGAAAGCCTCATCTTTCTCCCATGGAGTGACTGGTGGATTTGAACTGCTGACCTTCACTGGTCCCTAGTTGTTGTTGTTGTTAAGTGCTGTTTAGTTGATTCCAATACATAGCCACCCTGTATAGGGTTTTCAAGGAGCAGCTGGTGAGCTTGAACTTTGCAATTCAAATACTTTGCAGTCTAACGCATTAGCCCACAGCACCACACCAGGACCCCCTAGAGGCACTATAAACTGGAGTTGACTCAATAGCGGAGGGGTGGGGTTTCTGGTCTAGAGATGTAATTACATTGAAATGTAATTTCTTAGTGTTTGGACAAAGTGAAGACTGGCTCTATTTTGCAGATGAAATTGAATATGAAAACCAAAAGAGGCTGGAAGAAGAAGAGGATTTGAATGTACTTACTTTTGAGGATCTTCTTTGCTTTGCATATCAAGTTGCCAAAGGGATGGAGTTTCTGGAGTTTAAGTCGGTAAGGCCTTTACAAAGAAGAACCTAACGAAAGAGGTCAAGAAAGACAATGATGAAAAAGGGGAGAGCTTATACTTTTATTTTATTTTTCAAGTTTTTATTGTGAATTGAGTGATAGTTTACGTGGGAGAAAATCAGTTTTACACTCATTGTTTCATTACAATGATTACAATTTCCTCCGTGTATCATCATTCAACAGTATTTGCTTCTGTTCCCTCTGTTTTTGTTTTTTTTGGGGGGCGGGATGTACACAAAAACACTCAGGAATATATAATCATTTAAACCACCAAAGGACACATTCTGCAAGCCTGCCTCCTGGCCACCAGTACCCAGTCCCTCTCTTTCCCTGAGTCTAGAGTCCTCAGCTGCTCCCTCTCTCCATGTCCTCATCTCTGCCTCCATATCTGGTGTTGCTGCTTCTCTGGATATGGTCCACATTCCACTCCTGCTTTTCTCCATTGATGGTCCTAGGGTCCTCTGGTCCTGGACTGTAAGGTTAACCACTTCCCCCTTTTTGTTAGAAAACTTCTACCTTTACAGTTGTGACAGTCACAATTAGCCATGATAACAATTACTCACTACTGAATCATAAGAATCTTATCCCCATCTCTTTTCACCAGACCCATCTAGACAAAATGAAAACTATTCAGTGGGGATTCTACCTTTCCCCCACACACTCTGAAACTAAACTCCCTCTTGAAAACTTGTAAGCCAGTCACTTCATACCTTTATAGTGAGCTTATACTCTTTGTTGTTTATTTTACCTTGCATCCTGAAGTCTGTCCTTTTCCTTCTGTTCATGATTGGTATTATCTAGAACATTATCTCAGCTCTTGGTTAATTGTAGTATTAAGGCCTGGGGTCCCTGACTATATAATGGTTATCAGACCCTCTCAGGCTGTCCAAAGTCCCTGAACTTGCTCTTGAATGTACAGTAGGTGAAATGAATAGAAGAGATGATGAAAATAAAAGAGCTCAGCAGAAGATTTCACAGGGCAACTCACGAAGACCACTATTAATAATGAAGTGGGCAAAGATCTGGAGTTAGAAATCCAAAAGAGAAAAAAACATGCTCATCATTCTCAAGTTGAAAGGACTGAAGGCAAAAATCAAGCCTCAACTTGCTATATTGAAGAATTCCTTGGTCAAAATATTAAATGATTAAGGAAGCATCAAAAGAAGACAGAAGGAATGCATAGACACAGTCGCTGTACCAAAAATAATGGGTCATTAAACCATTTCAGGAGGTCGTATATGATAAAAAATTGATGGTACTGACGGAAGAAATCTAAGCTGTACTAAAGACATGGGCAAAAAGCAAGACTCCAGGAATTGACTGAATACCAATTGAAATGTTTCAACAAACAGGTGAAATTCTGTGTGTGTGTGATCATTTGTGTATGTCAAGAAATTTGAAAGATATCTGTCTGGCCAATTGATTGGAAAAGATCCATATTTGTGCTCATTCCAAAGAAAGGTGATCCAATAGAATGCAGCAAGTATCAAACAATATCATTACTATCATACGATGTTGTTACTGTCACACACAAGTAAAATTTTGGTGAAGATAAACCAAGAATGGTTGCAACAATATACCAATAGGAAACTGCTAGAAATTCAAGTTGGATTCAGAAGAGGATGTGAACCTAGGGATGTCATTGCTGATGTCAGATGAATATTGGCTGAAAGCAGAGAATGCCAGAAAGATGTTTAACCTGCATTTTATTGTCTATGCAGAGGCATTCAACTGTGTGGATCATAACCAACTATAGATAACATTGGCAAGAATGGGAATTCCAGAACAATTAATTGTGCGTATGAGAAACCTGTACATAGACCAAGAGGCAGTCGTTCAAATAGAATATGACGTTTGTTCTTGACCAGCCAGCTTCTATTTTGACTGGGCCACTTCCACCTCTTGGTAGGCACTGCTTTGATTGTGCTTTGTCTTCAGGATCATACTGGCAAAGCCATGTTTCATCTTCTGTTACAATTATTTCAAAGAAATGCTTAAGGTCTTGATCCCACTTGTTTAAAATTTCCATTGAAAGCTCTGCTCTTGTATGTAGCTGATCTGGGTATAATAGTTAGGGCACTCATTGAAGGGGAAATCTGTTCAACTTTAATTTTTCAGTCAGAATTGTGCAAGCAGAACCAATTGAGATGTCTGTGGTGTAGGCTGTTGTTTCTGCTGTTAATCAATTGTGGGTTCTTGTCGATTAAGGAATGGACAAGAATCGTTGATGTGGATGGTCTACCTCTGTGGGCTTCGTCTTCCACATCTTCTCATCCCTTCTGAAAACAGATTATCCATTTGTACACTGCTGACTTCTCCGGAGCACTGTCTCTATCAACTTTTTGTAAAGCATCAATGATTTCACCATTCTTTCATACAAGCTGCACCACAGATTTGACGTTTGTTCTCACTTCATTTTTAGCAGAATTCGTTGCTGCTCTGATAGCAGCTCTTTTTCAAACTGATGTCTTATTATCCTTCTTAATGCCTCAAATGAGATCCTGCTCAGACAAGTTAGTGCGAGTTTATTTTGGTGCAAAAAATGTTTTGTAGTCCACGCCTAGTTTTTATCATAACAAGCATCTTCCTTGAGCTTTTTGAAGACCCCACCCCCATACCTTTCCTTCCTTTGTAATTCATTTTGCACTTTCAAACCAGAGAAAAGATGTCAGTTTGTGATCACGTATTTCATAGTAAATAGCGTTTGGTATTTTTTCAATGTTTTATTGTGATTTATGTGATAGTTTACATGGGAGAACATTAGTTTTACATTCATCCTATCGTATATTGTTTCATTGCTATGGTTACAATCCTCTCCATGCATCATCAGCCAACCAAAGGGTATACACTACAAGCCTGCCCCCCAGTCATCAGCACGCAGCCCCTCTCCCTCTCTGGGTCGAAAGTCCCCAGCTGCTTCGTCTCGCCATGTCATTGTCCTGCCCCATTTCAGGTATCACTCTTCTCTGGGTAGGGTTCCGCAGTAAATAACGTTAGATTTTCTTCTTCTCAGTGTGTTCACAGAGATCTGGCTGCCAGGAATGTGCTGGTAACACATGGAAAAGTAGTGAAGATCTGTGATTTTGGATTGGCTCGGGACATAATGAATGACTCCAACTACGTTGTCAGGGGCAATGTGAGGCTGCAAACTCTTGTATTGTCTTATTAAGTTATTTTGTATTCTGTAAACCATCTTTTGTCATCGTTACAGTAGATAGCTGCTCTTGGTCACTTAAAGAAAAACGAAAACCAACAACAACTGAAAAAACCCACTGCTTTCACGTTAATCCCAACTTACAGCAACCCTGTAGGACAGAGGAGAAATGCTCCATAGGGTTCCCAAGGCTGCAGTCTTTACGGGAACAGACAACCTCATCTGTCTTCCACAGAATGGCTGGTGGGTTCAAACCACTGACCTTGAAGTTAGTGGCCTAACTTAATCCACTGCGCCCCAGGGTTTCTTCACTCATTTTTTTAATGGTGACATAAACCACTTAGTCAAAACAGTTTGTTCCCTAAGCTTACAGAGCTTCCCTACAGGTTCAGGGGACCATCCCCTACCTCCCATGTGTACTAGGTGAAAAAAGTCTGGTGGTCCAGTGGGTATGGGTCAGCTGCTACCTGAAAGGTTTGTGGTTCAAAACCACCCTGTGGCTCTGCAGGAAAAAAGATCTGGCAATCCCTTCCCATAAAGATTACAGTCTAAGAAACCCTATGGGGCCAGCTCGACTCTGCCTTTTAGGGTCACCGTAAGTTGGAATCGACTTGAGAGTACCCATTTTGTGGGTGAAGAAGCTGAGGCACAGAAAGGTTAAGAATCTCTCTCTGATTATCCAGCATATGGGTTTGAATATGAGTAATCTGCACCCACAAATTTGTGCATGGCCCATGGTGACTGTATTACTTACCTCAGAGGCCCATTGTGGGAGCAAACCAATACAATCACCAATGTTCAGGGAAAACAAGTTGAATTCTACTCCTACTGTTGTTGTTAAATGCAATCCAGTGGGCTCAGACTCATAGTGACCCTGCTTAGGGTGTCCGAGGAGCGACTGGTGGGTTTGAACTGCTGACTTTGCAGTTAGCAGTCCAGTGCTAATCTTACAACACCACACCAAGACTCCATATTTCCACTGGAATCCTATAATAATCTTAACTGGTGTTAGATCTATGCCTCAGTCATAAATAGGATGAATGTCCGTATATGAGGAGGCTTCATAGAGTTCATGGAAAAATGCCATTGTCTTTTTATTGTGTTTTTCCACTAACTTTTTGAAGCTCACCTGTATGGTTAGAGCCCTTGTGGTGCAGAGGTTAAGCACTCAGCTGATAACCAAATGGTTGATGGTTTGAACGCACCCAGGCCTGGCAAACTCTTCCTATCAAGATGGCAGCCTAAGAAACCCTACGGGGTGATACTACTCAGTCATATGGGCTCGCCGGAAATTGGAATTGACTTGACAAAACCCAACAACAACAGCAACATAGTTAGGCAGTTTGGACTCTGCAAGTTGTTCAGAAAGATTCTTCTAAAGAATCTTTCATGAAAAAGTTCAGTCATGATAGGCGGGCATCATCATCACTTCGGTGGGAAGGTGAATGCCGTAGAACACAGTGAAGTGTTTCAATTGGTCACATCAATCAGACCAATGCTCTTAATTCAACCAGACCATCAGCTTGTGTTTGACGTAACCGAGGGCTTCTGTCTTAAGTTTTGATTGGACTTGGCAGATAAAATGTGCTCTGTGGGGTCACCTCAACCAATGAAAATGAAAGCCAGTTTACAGTACCCTGCCTCCAAACCCCATGAGCCCCCGTGTCTCAATTCTTCTGTGCTCTTGGAAGTTTTTAAAGCCACAGAAATCAGGCTGGTACCATTTGTGGAAATGCTGACATATGTCTCCTCATGATATTCTTGGGAGTGGCACTAAAGTTCTTCCAGAAAATGCTTTCAGTAAAGTGTGTAAGGCAGCAGTCTGTCAGAGAAGGAAAACTCATACATGAGTGTTTTCCACTCAAAATGAGCAAGCAACAGAGAGTGCCGAGACTGCCCCTTGTCAGCAAAACACAAGGAAAACCAAGGCAGTCCCGTTGGGCTCACTATACTACCAGGAGTCCTGGTGTGGCACTGTAGGATCAGCACTGGGCTGCTGACCCTAAGATCGGCAGTTCAAACCCATCAGCCACTCCCCAGAAACCCTACACTGGGTCACTATGAGTCAGAATCGACTCGACGGCACTTACTACCAACAACTCCTCGTGGTACCAGCTACTCCTAATGGAAAGTCACTGTCTTCTGTCGCGTTTCCAGTGCCAAGTACCAGCTGTGGTTGGAGATGGGTTGAAAGGCATGTGTCTTCACTGAGCCCCCTGTTTTAGAAAGTTAATTTAAAGTGGCAAGAGTGTCGGGAGTTTCTAAATTAAAGCACCAGGTGTGGTCTTGGGGAAGATATGAAACCCTATCATCTAGTGAACACGAAATGAAGAAGCCGTGTGAAGTCTGTGGACAGTTCACGGTTTGTTCTCTTGGGTTTTCCACAGGCCCGCTTGCCTGTGAAGTGGATGGCTCCTGAAAGCTTGTTTGAAGGAATCTACACCATTAAGAGTGATGTCTGGTCGTATGGAATATTACTATGGGAGATATTCTCACTGGGTACGTGCTACTATTTTCTGCCTTCGCTGGTGCTAGGTCTTTTGTTTTAAATATCTTATTGTGAAGTATGTGATAGTTTACATGGTAGAACATTAGCTTTACATTCAACCTATCATATATCGTTCCATTGCCATGTTTACAATCCCCTCCATGCATCATCAACCAACCAAAGGGTATACCCTGCAAGCCTGCCCCCCCCTCCCCGCCCCCGGTCATCAGCACACAGCCCCTCTCCCTCCCAGAGTCCAGAGTCCCCAGCCGCTCTGTCTCTCCACATCATCATCTCTGCCTCCATCTCTGACATCACTGTTTCTCTAGATTGGGTCCCTCTCGCTCTCCATGGTGCTAGGTCATTAACATCCTGACAGCTCCACCCCCTGCTGTCTCCTCCCACCCTCTCTGCTAACTCCTAAGTCAAAGGTTGGTTAAATGCCACCTCAAGTACACTTCCAAGCTCCCTAGTCTTGCTTCTATTGTAGCACGTGAATACATTTCTTTTCTTTTCTTTTTTTCCTTATTTTGTTATCGTTGAGAACACAGACAGAAAAGCATACACCAATCCAACCATCACAACTCAGCGACATTGGTAACACTCTTGGTGTTTGGTGACCATTCTCACCCTCTTTCTCCAAGTTGTTCCTCCCCATGAACATAAGCTCACTTCCCACTAAAGTTCTAATCTTTCAAGTTGCTGCTTTCAATTTCATCCCAGAGACAGATCTGAAAGGAGCACAATGTTCAAAGCAGACGTTCTTTGCTAGTTAAGCTAAACTAGTGGTTGGTTTTTGAAAGACTTTTGGGGATATTTCTGGTTTAAGAATTAAACAAGATCTCACTTTGGGGTTCATCCAGCCTCTATGGCTCCAGAAAGTCTGATTCTATGAAAATCTTTTCAGCATTTTCCCCCTGTTGATCAAGATTCTTTTAAAGAATCTTTCATCCACATGTTCAGTTACGGTAACCAGGCATCATCTAGCTCTTTTGATCTCATGACAAAGGGGATCGTTGTTCATGGAGGCATGTGAGCAAATTTCACCTGGAGGCAGTGGTAGGTCTGTGGTAGAGTTTTCGCCTTCCATATGGGAGACTTGGGTTCAATTCCCGGAAAATGCACCTCATTCAAAGCCACTACTTGTCTGTCAGTGGCGCCTTTGCATTGCTATGATGTAGAAAGATTTCAGTGAGACTTCCAGACAAGAAAAAGTAGGAAGAAAGACCCAGCAAGCTATTTCTGAGAATCAGGCAATGAGATCCTCATGGATGGTCCAATCCCATTGCGCATGGTTTACCATGAGTCAGGGTCATCAGGACAGCAACTGAAAACAACAGCATCTTCCCCATTGGCCTCTAACTTGCTTGAGAGCTGATCCTGTGACAGGTGCAGCCCTAGCAATGCCTGGCAACATGGGAGTTGTTAGTAGATGTTTGTTGATCAACTGAGTTAGGAAGCAAAGACTCAAGGGCTGAGTGTTTATGGTGCTCTGGTGTTTCCTCAGGTGTGAATCCTTACCCTGGAATTCCAGTGGATGCAAACTTCTATAAACTCATTCAGAGTGGATTTAAGATGGACCAGCCATTTTATGCTACTGAAGAAATGTAAGTTCAAACCAGACTGCACGTTGGTTGGAATCTGAAATATAGACTAATTTCAAATGCATGACAACAAAAGTGAAAAAAAAAAAGTCTTTCATGAAAAGTTTATATGGTTTAATTTTTTTGTTTGTTTTTAAAGAATGCTCTTTGGGGTCTTAAAAGAAGATTTTGGAACACAACTGAAGTCTTTCTTGTCCTCAGAACAGGGCTTCCAACTGGTTCATTCTGGTTTGACCCCTACAGAGAATTTGCCTTTCTCCCCCAGATGTTCATTTGATCAGAACTGGTATTTTAACTTAATCCCTGGGTTATTCCTATGCATACTCATCTTTACATACACACAGAGGGATCGCTTGAGGGTCTTGTTAAAATGTTGATTCTGATCAAATGTATACTGGATGGAAAGGCAGAGGGTCAGTAGGGGGTCAGGCTATGTGATCTGGTTTGAAGTCCTACCTCAGAAGCTCTGAATGCCAAACTTTGAACATGTTGTTGTTGTTGTTATGTGCTGTGGAGTCGGTTCCGACTCATGGTGACCCTGTACAGGGTTTCCGAGGCTGTAAATCTTTACAGGAGCAGAAAGCCTCATATTTCTCCCACGGAACTTCGAACTGCTGACCTTGTGGTTTGCAGCCCGATTCATAACCACTACGCTACCAGAACTCCTTTAATCAAATATAGCAGGCTAATTTTTAATTTTTAAGTTGATAATTTTGCATGACCCATGAATGATGTTATAAACTTTGGCAGAAAAAAGGTTCCCCATTTCTGCCGTAGAGTCTCTGAGTGGTGCAAAGTGTTAAAATGCTTGACTGTGAACTGAAAGTTTGGCAGTTCAAGTCCACCCAGAGGTACCTTGGAAGAACGGCCTGGAGCTGTACTTCCCAAAAGTTAGCCATAAAAACCGTGTGGAGCACAGCTCTACTATGACAGCTGTGGGGTCATCATGAGTTGGCTCATTGGCCAAATGGGTTTGATTTTGTTTTGCATTGCCTGCCCTTTCTATTTAATTTCTCATTTCTGATGTGGATTCACAATTTATGGTAGAATTCTTGCCATAAAGCAACATGCCATGAATCAATAGTGCCATGATCATCATGGTGTTTCGTTATGTGGAGGATGACCCGCTTTGATTAATCCAGATCGATTCATCTGGCTCCTTGGTGTGTTGCTCTGACAGATACTTTATCATGCAGTCCTGCTGGGCTTCGGACTCGAGGAAACGGCCTTCCTTCCCGGACCTGACTCTGTTTCTTGGGTGCCAGCTGGCAGATGCAGAAGAAGCGGTAGGTGGCTGCCTTGCTGCTGTCGGTGCTGTTGAGTGAACTCTGACCCCGTGTGACAGAGAACTGCCCAAGGGTTTCCTAGGCTGTAAATCTTTACGGGAGCAGATCACCAGGACTTTCTTCTGAATCACTGGGTGGACTCGAACTGCCAGCCATTTGGTTAGCAGGCCAGCTCTTAAATGTTGCACCACCAGGGTCCCTATAACCAAACCTACTGCCATTGAGTAGGTTTGACTCATGTAGGGTTTCTGAGACCATCAGTCTTTAAGGGAGCAGACAGCCTTACGTTTCTCCCATGGAGCAGTTGGTGGGCTTGAACCACTGAACTTGTGGTTAGCAGCCTAATGCCTGATCCACAGCACCACCAGAAATGGTAATTCAAACACTTAGGGATGGTCTCCTCAGGACCAGAGTGCTCTTTTCACCACAATTTGGCCTCATTGCCCTTTAAAATTTGTATAGGGTGAGAAGTAGTTATTAATAAGTGTTTTAGAAGAAATGGCTTTTTCTGAAGATTTCCACCAATTGATTAATAAATCAAGGTGCTGAAGTGTCCTGGTGCACAGGACTCAATCATGAATCAAAGTTCCTCCTAATCTGCAGACTACACAGATCTTTCCTAACCCAACACGGTGCCTGAATACAGAGATCAATGACTCAAGACCAGAGTAAAATATGGTGGCGTGGAAAGGGCACCAGCTTGGAGTCCTGAGATCTGCCGGCAGCTCTGTCTTCTAATAGCAGTGCCCACTGTGGCTGGTCGCTCTACTTCTCTGGGCCTCACTTTTGTCTAAGGTGCACCTGAGGCAAACCATGGTATTTTCAATAACCTCATATGCATGCAAAAGTTGGACAGTGAATAAGGAAGACCACAGAAGAATTGATGCCTTTGAGTTATGGTGTTGGAGGAGAATATTGAAAGTGCCATGGGCTGCCAAAAGAACCAACAGATCTGTTTTGGAAGAAGTGCAGCCAGAGTGCTTCTTGGAGGCGAAGATGGCCAGACTTGGTCTTTCATACGTCAGACATATTGTCAGGAGGGACTGGAGAAGGATATCAGGTTTAGTAAAGTGGAGGGTTGGAGAAAAAGAGGAAGACCCCCAATGAGATGGATTGGCACAGTAGCAGCATCAATGGGCTCAAACGCAGCAACGATTGTGAGGTTGGCACAGGACCAGACAGTGTTTCATTCTGTTGTACATGAACAACAGAGTCAGTACTGACTCAATGGCACCTAAAAACAACCACACTTTTGTTAAATGTAAAATGGAGTCTTTACCAACACCACCTGGTGGAGGAAAAAGTGCTATACCAGGTGAGGTGGTCGAAGGATAGGATCTTGAACTCCCAATGTTGTTGTTGTTATGTGATGTGGAGTTGGTTCCAACTCATAGCAACCCTGCACAGGGTTTCTGAGGCTATAAATCTTACAGGAACAAAAAGTCTCATCTTTCTCCCATGGAACAGCTGGTAGTTTCAAACTGCTGACCATGAGATTAGCAGCCCGATTTGTAACCACTACGCTGTATCAAAAACTGTTGACTGTCCAACTGTCCAGTGATGAGGAGCCGTCACGGTGCCATAGGCTAAGCAATGGGCCACTAATTGCAATGTTGGTGGTTTAAACCCTCCAGTCGATCCCCGGGAGAAAGATGGTTAGGAGTTCTGCTCTCTGGGGTGTTGATGTTAGTTGCCATCGAGTCAGTACAGAAGCATAGTGAGTGACCTTTTGCACAATGAAACTCTGCCTGGTCCTGCACCAACCTCACAATTGTTGTGAAACTTGAGCCCATTGCTGTGACCACTGTGCCGATCCATCTCACTGGGGTCTTCCTCTTTATCGCTGACCTTCCACTTTACCAAGCATGGCATCCTTCTTCAGGGACTGGTCCCTTCTCATAATATGTCTGAACTATGAGAGACGAAGTCTGGTCATCCTGGCTTCCAGGGAGCATTCTGGTTGGACTTCTTCCAACACAGATTTGTTTGTTCTTTTAGCAGTCCATGGTACCTTTAATATTCTTCTCCAATACCATAAGTCAGATGCATCGATTCTTCTACGGGCTTCCTTAGTCATTGTCCAGCTTTCACATGCATACGAGGCTACTGAAAATACCATGGCTTGGGTCAGACACATCTTCATCCTCAAACTGACATCTTTGTTCTTGAACACTTTAAAGAGGTCTTGTGTAGCCGATTTGCCTGATGCAGTATGTAGAAGGTTATTTTTCCCACCAGTATCATAGGATCTTTATTAAGTGAATTAGAAAATGCTACCACTCAGGGTGGGTTGAATATGAAGAGAAATTCCCTTCTCTAACCTAAATACCTATGAAACAGAGCACAGATTGGATTTCAGCTACCACTGGTCTGTTTTACGGGGCAGTTTTGTGCAAGGCACGTTCTACACATCCAAGCCAGGCAGCCCTGCCCATCAGAAGCAATCCTGGCTTCCTCGGATGCTCCTGTCCTCTCTAAGTTCACCTCAACTTTTCTCCTCAGTGCAATCATAACCCTTGATGGGAAGAATGAGGTTTCTCTCTACTTTTTTCTTTTTTTAATTATATTGTATCATGTTTTCAGAAAATGTTTACACAGCTAAATTCTCAGTTACAGTTTCTGCACAGATGATTCAGTGACATCAGCTACATTTTTCAGTGTGTCAACGTTCTTATTCATTCCCTTCTGCTTGTGCCATTTTTGTCTCCCTGACCTTCTCTTCGCTGGTTCAGAGTCATTGCTGAACACTTGATCTTCTGTAGATGATTTTTTTTTTTTTTAAAGGAGAGCAGTCCTCTTGGGTGAGATTCTGTATTTTATGAGCCATTCTGTTATTCAGCTGAAAGATGACCTCAGGGAATAATTTCAGTTCAAAGTTTAAAGCGTATCTTGGTGTGAATCTTGGGGAGTCCTGTAATCTCAGCTGGTCCAGTAAGTCTGGACTTTTTAAGAATTTGAGATTCTGTTCCATGTTTTTCTCCCATGCTATCATGACGTATCGATTCTGGTCATGGTCAGAGTAGTTGGTGGTGATAGCTGGGCAGTCCCTGGCTCTTATGTGGATGGCTTTTATAAAATCTTGTTTTTACTTTATCACTGTCCACTGCCACTGGGTTTGGCCCACATTCCTGATGACCCCTTGTACAAGGAACAAGACACAACCTGGCCCTACAGTATCCCTGTGGTCAGTTGTGGATCAGACCGTTGTGAGTCATAGGGTTTTTATTTTTGGAAGGAGATTGCCAGACCTTTCTTCCTAGTCTGTCTTAGTCTGGAAACACCTGTTCTGCTTCATAGCAACATGCAACGTCATGCAACATGAGGCGCGTTCAGTGGGAATTGGACTTGGATCTCCTACAAGGACGATGAGGATTTTACCACTACCTCATTTCATTGTGAACTAAACCCCTGCCATCGAGGTCATTCCAACTCATAGCCACCCTATACAGGGTTTCCAATCTTTACCAGAGCAGAAAGCCTCATCTTTCTCCCAGGGAATGACTGGTGGATTTGAACTGCCGAGCTTGTGGTTAGCAGTCTGATACTTAGCCTACAGCGCCACCTGTGGGCTAGAGAAGGAAACATGACCCTCAGAGAACAAGAGGAGAAGAGAGCTATGTAGACAAAGCAAAGGTTAATAATAGTGTTTCCATACGTTGTTGTTCTTAAGTGCCGTTGAGTCAGTTCCGACCCATAGCCACCCCATATAGGGTTTCTGAGGAGTGACTGGTGAGCTTGAACCACCGACCTTGGGGTTCAAACCAATTTTGCAATCCAGCGCATGAACCTACAGCGCCACACCAGGTAATAGTGCCATCGAATCTATTTTTGACTCATCGTGGCCCATGTGATAGAATAGAACTGCCCCATAGGGCTTCCTAGGCTGCAGTCCTTCTGGAAGCAAATTGCCAGGGCTTTTTGCCACAGAGCAGCTGGTGGGCTCCAATCCCTAACCTTGCAGTTAGCATTTGAGTGTTTAGCCAGAGCACAGCCAGGACTCCTTAGAACAAACCCTTTACCAAAGCTTAATCCCTATCAATATGTTAGTCTGGTTGACCAAAATTTAATCCCTATCAATATGCTAGGAGCTCTGGTAGCGTTGTTGTTGTTGTTAAGTGCCATCGAGTCGGTTCCGACCCATGGCGACCCTGTACAGGGTTTCCGAGGGTGTAAATCTTTATGGGAGTAGAAAGCCTCATCTTTCTCCCGCGGAGTGGCTGGTAGTTTCGAACCGCTGACCTTAAGGTTCGCAGCCCAATTCGTAACCACTACGCTAGCGTAGTAGTTATGAATCGGGCCGATGTACCTCAGGCATAGCCAACACTGTCTGTCAGTGGAGGCTTGTGTGTTGCTAGGATGCTGACCAGGTTTCAGTGGAGCTTCCAGACTAAGACTAAGAAGAAAGACCTGGCGATCACCTTCTAAAAACCACACAATGAAAAACCAATGGTTCACAACAATCCAGTCCCATTGTGTACAAGATCACTGTGAGTTCGGGGCTAGCTCCATGACTGCTAACAACAATACAACAACGTACAACCTGAACCTCCTGACATGAAATTCTGTGTGCATGGTGGTTAGAAACCAAAACTAACCCACTGCCCCAAACTGATGGAAAGGGAAAAACATTTTTTTAAGGTTTTGTTTTGTTTTAATTTTGAGGAACTTATTATTTATTAGTTGTTGTTGTTAAGTGCCATTGAGTCAGTTCCAACTCATAGCGACCCTGCATAGGGTTTCCGAGACTGTAAATCTTTATGGGAGCAGAAAGCCTCATCTTTCTCCCACAGAATGGCTGGTAGTTTCGAACCGCTGACCTTGAGGTTCGCAGCCCGACTCACAACCACTATGCTACCAGAGCTGCTTCCCTTCTGTCCTAACCCTTCTCAAATGTGTCCTTGGGTAAATGTTGTCCTTTGGATCTCCAGTGGTTGATTAAGGAGTGTATACCTTTCTGGTGGTGGTGGTGGTCCCTCTCTAGACTTGTCTGAAAATTAAGCCACTGGTGGTGAGTTCATTCCAGACCTGAAGGGTGACCAAGGGCCATTGTCTCAGGGCTTCCACCAGCCTTGATCCAACCAGTCAGCCTGGCCTTTTAAAAAATTTTTTATTTATGATTTTGAGTTTTGTTCTACATGACTCCTCCTCTCGCCAGGACCTTCTAATGTGATCTCTTTCAGAGCAGCTCAACTATCTTATTGAAACAATGGTTTGCACTAGATGCTGGCATCTTGATCACATGGTAACCAGTTGTTTTCTCCTGTTCAGATGTATCAGAACACGGATGGCCATGTCTTGGAACGTTCTTCCATCTACCAAAACAGACGATCTTGCAATTCAGAGATGAACTCAGGGGTACCTTCTGCACAGCCTCAGGTTGGAGATTCATAGAGTTTAAAACAGCCACAATGACAAAATAATCTTAAGAACTTCCTCCCCTGCCTACTTTAAACAGGTTGTAGATTACCAAACTGAGGTTAAGTTCATCACTAAGAGAAAATATACTATCAACTGCTGCTTTGCTGGACTTTTCTCTACGAGCTGTCTGTATTTCCTCTTGTTTTCAAAGCGACTTTTGTAAAATCGGATTATCCTTGGCGTGGGGCTGGAAGAGCTATTCATTAACTCCTTCTGGAGCGCCACATCCAGAAGCAGTGTGGGGCTGACTATGATTTTCTAAATCTATGTTTTAAAACAATATGTAACTTTTTCAGCTACTTAGTGATCTATTTTATGGATGGAAATAAAATTTCTACTATAGAAATGTTTGTTAGTGAATCATTTACCTGGGGTATTTATTTAGAGCAATATGTGTGTGGAGTTTCTGAACCCTGTGAGGGGTGTGTCAGGTTTTGTTTGTCTGTACATGCAGGTGTCTCTGTGTGTACATGTGTGTGTCTCTGTGTGTACATGCATGTGTCTGTGTTTGTACATGTGTGTGGGTGAATGTTTTTATTGAGAAACACATTCTTCAAAAGATTCATGTCTCCTGCCCCCAAGTTTGGTTAAGAACAGCTGATTTCAAATGTCTACACTCTTCTTTGGGCGTCCTGGTGTGGTGCTGTGGGTTAATGCACTAGAGTGCAAAGCAGTTTGAACTGCAAGGTCAGTGGTTCAAGTTCACCAGCTGCTCCTTGGAAGCCCTATACAAGGTTGCTATGGGTCGGCATCGACTCAACGGCATTGAACAACAACAACACACCCTTCTTTAGAATGTACCCCTGAAACCTTGTTCTCTGAAGAAGTCATTGAAATGAGGTGTTGTTGGGTGTCATCTTTGATTTCAATATAACGACAGAGTAGAACTGTCTCCGTAGGGCTGCCCAGGTTGTCCCCTTTGTAGGAACACATCGCCAGGTTTTTCTCCCACAGAACCACTGGTAGGTTCAAACCATTGACCTTTTCCCTTATCAGCTAAGACATTAACAGCTGCACCACCAGAGGTTCCATCCTTTGAAGCTTAAAACCAAAAAAATCCAAACCCATTGGTGTGATCTTTACAGAAGCTGCGTGCCACATCGTTTACTTGTGGCATGACTGGTGGGTTCGAACTTCTCATTGCCCTGGCAGTTAGCATCTGAGCGCTTAACCACTGTGCAACCAGGGCTCCTCCTATGAAGCGTAACCCACCCACCCCCCAAAAAATTCTCACTTCTGTTATCGATTCCCACTCATTGTGACCCTGTAGGCTAGAGAAGCGAGCCCTTAGCATTTATAAAGCTGTAAATCTTTACACGGAGTCCTGGTGTGCCAGATTGCAAAACCATTTGAACTGCAAGGTCGGTGGTTCAAGCTCACCAGCTGCTCCTTGGAAACCCTATACAGAGTCACTATGGGTTGGAATCGACTCGACAGCACTTAACAACAACAACAAATCTTTCTACAGGCAATCTGCCTCATCTTTCTTCCTTGGAGTGGCGGATAGGTTCAAACTGCTGACCTTCCCAGTGGCATCGAGCAGTAAGTCGCTGTTCCACCAGGCTCTTCCTTTGAAGCTTGTTGTTTTTGGTAAGTGCTGCTGAGTCAGTTCTGACTCATAGCATCCTTGTATAAGGGTTCCGAGGCTGTAAATCTTTGTGGAAGCAGAAATCCTCATCTCTCTCCCATGGAAAGGCTGGTGGGCTTGAACCACTGACCTCGTGGTTCCAAATCCTGCACTCATCCTATAGAAGCCCCATGATACCCCTTTGAGGCTTGTTGTGTTGTGAAGTGCTGTTGAGTCTGTTCTGACTCATAGCTACCCTGTAGGACAGATCAGAACTGCCCCATGGGGTTTCCAGGATGATAAATCTTTAAGGAGCAGCCAGCCTCATCTTTCTCCATCAGAGTGGCTGGTGGGTTTGAACCACCGATCTTGCTAGTGGCAGCCTACTGCGCTACCAGGGTTCCTTACGTATATCAGTGTAAGGCCCTAACTGATTTTGCCTAGCTACTTGACCAAACTTTAGTCAGGCTTCAAGAAACATTTCGGATAGACAAGGCCTCAGTTTTTAGTTCCCTCCAGAGACAAGGTCAGTCAGTTAGCCCTCAATGTTAAAATAATCCTTGAGAAACTCATAATGGTCAGACTGACCCAGACGAATGAGAATATCCTAAACACTAAACACTTGCAATTGCCAAAACCCATCTGCTTATAGATTAAAAAGGTTGCTTCATGCCGAGACCAATTAAACTGTAACATCTCGTACTTTGCCAAATGTCAACCAATCAGAAACTGTATCTATAGTGCTGTACAATTTTGCCCCCTAAAACCTTGTAAAAACTGGTATGTAACACAGTAGGGGGTCGCCCTCAGCTCCTGTTTTCAGGAGTCTATGTGAGAGTGGACCCCAGCGCGTTGGCAAATGTTGCCTTTGTCTCCTGTTTTAGGAGTCTGTGAAGGTGGACCCCAGCACGTTGGTAAATAAACCTCTTGCTTTTGCATCGAACTCGAGTCCTGATGATCTTTTTGGGGTCTCCTACTGAATTAGGCCACTAGGGGGCCTAACATCAGTACCCCACCTCCCTGCCTTTGAGTCCATTCTGACAAACAGCGACCCAGTACAGGGTTTCCCAGACCGTAAATCTTTACGGGAGCAAAAATCCCCATCTTTCTCCTATGGAGCAGCTAGTGGGTTTGAACTGCTGACCTTGTAGATGTAATACATTTGTAAATGTGTGAGGGTGGAAACTTAACAATATGGTCCAGCGCTTTCCTCTGTGGCTTCAATACTTGGCCTTAGAACAGACCCCCCTCTAGACACCTCACTTAGACACACCAGCTGCATATCACCTGACTCTAGTCTCTCTGCCACCGGCATTTACTCTAGGCCACTGCCAGATTGGTCTTCCCGAAGTATACTGCTTTGTGTGGGGCGCCCCTCAGCCTGTCAAATAACACCAAACTCTCCTCCTGATGCCCACCACCACCTGGCCACAAGGTTTGAACTGGTGGTTCAAACCTACCAGTCACTCCTTGGAAACTGTATACAGGGTCACTATGACTCAGAACCACCTCGATGGCACTTAACAACAATGACAAAACATCCAAACCAAATCCTAAAATACTTCTTCAGAAGAACTTACTGCTAAAGACTGAAGTAATTTCTCCCAGCTTAAAAATAATACATGTTAAAGAAAGCTTGTAAGCCTGTTTTCCGCCTATAACGGATTGAAGTACCTAAAAGGGGTTCTAGAACTTTCCCAGTGAAACAAGCTTCTTGCGGAGTCCTTGTAGTGTATAGAACCTTAGGTGGAATCCTGAGCCCCATCCAAACCTTCTGAGGTGGGACATTTTCACTGGAAAGGAAATGCAGACCAGCCCAGAGCTGCTAAAGGAACAGAAGATACTTCCTGAAAGAAAGACCTGCAGGAAAAAAACCCACAACCCAGCAGTCTGTTTGACTATTATAAGAACAAGCAAGCTATTCACAGGGGAACCATCAAAGCAAGTAATCAAGTCCCTTCAGGATAAACCCCACTCCAAGACTGAAACTCAAAGGGAACACATGAGCAGGCATGTAAGCTTGCTGGTGACCACATTGTTCTACATGTGAGTGGAAGTGGGAGAAAGGCAGTAATGAAGATATGGGCTGAGTTTGACCACATTTCATAGACTTTTGTCGACCTTAGAATAAGAGAGAAGAGGAAGGGCTGGTTGGTCTGAAGTTTGGGGAGACTTGGGCATTCCAGAGCCCGTGAACAAGACATAGCCATGGAGGACTAGAGCTGAGAGTGAAGAATCCAGCTGATATGAAGTGAGGGGAGACACACAAGAATGCCCAGACTTGCAGATTGTACCCATTTGACCTAGCTTCAATGGTTTGATGACCAGAGCTTGACTGTTGTTGTTGTGAAGTGCCGTCGAGTCGGTTCCGACCCATAGCGACCCTGTACAGGGTTTCCAAGGGTGTAAATCTTTACGGGAGTAGAAAGCCTCATCTTTCTCCCACGGAGCGGCTGGTAGTTTCGAACTGCTGACCTTAAGGTTCGCAGCCCGATTCGTAACCACTACGCTACCAGAGCTCCTTAGAGCTTGACTAGGAAGATAAATTTGATAAAGGATGCAAGTGTAAATTGCTACAAATCCTTATTATGGATGTTGTTGCTGTTAAGTGCCGTTGAGTTGATTCTGACCCATAGCGACCCTGTAGAGGGTTTCCAAGGAGCTGTTGGTGAGCCTGAACCATCAACTTTGCAGTTCAAATGACTTTGCAGTCTGACACATTAGCCTACAGCGCCAGGGGTGTAGTAGCTCAAAATACCAATCGAGAAGGAAGGACTCTTCCCATCAAGGGTCAAGCCTATTCCCTCAGTGTGCAGCGTTGATAGGGACGGGCAACTTAGACATTGGCTACCTACAATGGGGCATGGGGAGTTACAAAGGCACAAAGTGGCTAGTTTACTAGTTTTCAAGAGGGAGTTCAGTTTCAGCATGTGTGGGGGAAGGTAGAATCCCCACTGAATAGTTTTCATCTTGTCTAGATGGGTCTAGTAAAAGGAGATGGGGATAAGATTCTTATGATTTAATAGTGAGTAATTGTTATCATGACTAACTGCGATGGTCACAACTATAAAAATAGAAGCTTTATAACATAAATGGGGGAGTAGTTAATCTTACATTCCAGGAACAGCAGACCCTAGGACCATCCATGGAGAAGAGCACAAGCGGAATGTGGGTCCCCTAACCAGAGAAGCAGTGATACCAGAGATGGAGGCAGAGAGGAAGACATGGAGAGAGGGAGCAGCTGAGGATTCTAGACTCATGGAAAGAGAGGGACTGAGTGCTGGCAGCCAGGAGGCAGGCTTGCAGAACGTGCCCTTTGGTTGTTTAAATAATTATATATTCCTGAGTGTTTTTGTGTACATAAAAAACAAAAAACAAAAACCAGAGGGAATAGAAGCAAATACTG